AGAAAAAGGTATAAAAAAAAATAATCAAAAGATTGTAAAGAGCGGATTTAAGAGGGGCAGAATAAGAAATCGCTTATTCGGGTTATTTTTATTTATCCGTGTTCTTCTTCTTGCGCAACGGCAGCAGCAGCTGCTACTCTTGCTGTATACGCGTGGATCGCACAATTTTATAATTCATTTGCCGCGCGACAAGGCAGGAGAGGATCGCTACTGCCTGCGTATTATATACATCTAAAATGCAGCAGTAAGTAAGCTCCGATGCACGCGCAGTGCAGCGTACCGTAGCAGAGGACTGCGTTGTATATATATCTAGGCATATATACGGCACGTTAATCCGGATGAAGTTTTATAGATACACGCGAGTATATATTTTACTCGTTGCCGCGTTGCTGTATATCTGTCGCATGGCTGTACGAAAAAAAAAAATCTGAGTTATAACTCTCTCTTCCTCCGAGAAAGAGGAGATTCGACTCTCGCAGCCAGCGGTCACCTTAATGGCGACTAGGAGGAAATGAGCCGCTGGTAAATCAAAAGGAATCGTGGATTTGTGTGCGTGTGTGTGTGTGTATAGAGTCGCGCACAGATCGCAGAAAAAGACGCGTATATCTATCAAGATAATAGGTCGATAAATATCTACACGAGCTAAGCCGTTCGGGATGCGGTGGTGCCCACCACCACCACCACGTGCCTCTCTTATGTAGCACACGAAGTCGTGTCGGGTGCGCGACTCGATGCAGAGGTACGTATAACGTGGATTGAGATGCGCGTCGAGTAATTGTTTTATACGACTCGGACGCCCTTCTTAACTGCGGCAGATTTTATTTACGCGCCGTCGCGTATCACTTCGAGCATCTACCGCTAGATGGCTAGTGACTGCGTATCTATTAACCTGCCAGTGGCAAAGTCAAAATAATAGTATAAATCAGTGGTTAATTTCAATCGTCACCAGTAATCCCCACGCAATTTTTTCATTTGCTGCTCACGTAATTGAAAGAGCATTTATATAAGAGCTTGGTAGTTATTTTTGATTTGATGTGAGTACTATGAGAGAGAAAAAACAATTATGCGAGCTTTTAATAATTTTGAATTGATGTAGAGAAAATTTTGGTTTAAATTAAATTATTGGATAGTATTCAAGTGGGCTTTTTCGCTGATTACTTATTTTTGTTATCGATCATTTTATCTCAGCAGAAATAATAGGTCAGTTTGCAAGTTCAATAAAATTTTTCTCTAGCGCATGTTTAACTAATTCAAGGTCAGAATAATGTTACGTCAAAAATCCAGATCCAAAAAAGAAGTGAAAAATCTTTCGATTGATGATTGCTTTGAATAGCAAGAAAAAAACAAGGAGCCAAAAATAAAACTCCACAATTTCGGTGTACAAAGGTGTAATATGATTTGATAGTTCGTGAAGTTCAGGTAACACCAAATCATTCCGCCATAATTTTTATTGAACTTTTAGAAAACATGTGCATAAGTATCTATACACATACATACGTATTTACAATTTTCAATCATAATTTTTTCTCGCAATCGTCGTTTGCGTAGTCTTTGCAATTTCCGTGTATTTTCCTTTTGAACCGGAGCAAATGTGGTTTATCTCCAAACTTCTCACAAGCGTAATCTTAACGACCTTCATGGACTGTCTTTTGATGCCTATTCAAATTTGATTTTTTCCCAAATTTCTTGTCGCATATGTTACACAAGTAATCTTTGCGACTTTCGTGGACTGTTCTTGTGTGTACAAACAAATCACTTTTAACTGCGAATTTTTTTTCGCACTTGTCGCACGCATAATCTTTGCGACCTTCATGGGTTCTTCTTTGATGTCTGATCAAAGTGCTTCGTTCCCCAAATTTCTGTTCGCACTTGTCACATGTGTAATCCTTGCGACCTTCGTGTACTGTTTTTTGGTGTATGATCAAATGACCTCTATGTCCAAATTTCTTTTCACATTTGTCACATGCGTAATCTTTCCGACCTTGGTGTACTGTTTTTTGGTGCAAGAGCCAATGAGATTTATGTAGGAATTTTTTTTCACACTTATCGCATCCGTAATCTTTCCGATCGTCGTGGACTGTCTTTTGGTGTTTCCACAAATGTGACTTACGTCCGAATTTTTTTCCGCAATTGTCACATGCATAATCTTTACGGCCATCATGGACTGTTTTTATATGCAAGCGAAAAACCAGTTTATTTCCAAATCTTTTTGCGCAAATTTCACATAAGTAATCTTTAAAAACTTCGTGAAATATTTTTATGTGCTTGAGTAAAGTTGATTCACATTCAAATTTCTTTTCGCATTTGTTGCACGTGAAATTTTCGCGATCTTTGTGTGCTAATTTTTGATGCGTAAACAAACTTGCTTTCTTTTCAAATTTTTTCTCGCAACTGTCACATGCGTAATATTTTTGATCGTTATGAATTGTGTCTCGGTGGGTTATCATGCTAGATTTTGATGTAAATGCCTCCTGGCAATTACCACAAACATATTTTTTGGCGTCTGATACAGTAATGTCCTGATTACCTAAATTATTTCTCGAGGCGGCTTCCTCTGATTTCTTTTCACTTTTATCCATTATGGTGCTTAAAATAAATGTTGAATCTTTCTATTCAGTCCCACAAAAATTTAATTAGTAAAATTTATCTTTTGGTATTATGGCTAGATTTTCAAAACTAGTTCGATTCTACTGTAAACATGATCACCATTCGAGGGACTATTATGAGCGTAATGTTGACAAATAATTTACGTTCTCATCTGTACATGAATGTTGCTTACAATATTCGAACCAATTGAAAATTCAAACTAGGTGACGATTTTTTCATGGATTTCTAAAACCAAGGACTTCAAAAAAACTCCCTACGACTTATGAAAAAATTTCACGTTCATTCTAAAATTTGCCACCCCCACGCCATGGTGTGATTAGCCTGCTCCATAATCTGACACTGGATACCTTACATAATCGTGTGCGCCGTAAAACCGTAAACATAAACGGCTCACTCGTGTAATTCTACGTATCTACTCATTATTTATTTTACTTTCAAATAAAACCGGGGCATACGCATGTCGCTACCATCTATGTAATCTTGGCAATTCTTATACTGGATAGAGTAAAGAGTGTTAGTCGAACATAGAACCATAAAATTCTTACAATGAATTTCTGAGCCCAAATTCTAAAAGGGCATTCAATTCTACGAAAATGCATTTACTTACAAAATTTTTCCAAGGTTCATAACATGGAAAAAGTTGCGTCTCAAAGAAATGCAAAACTTTGTCATTCTAAGCTTCATAAGTTGAAGCCATTCTTCGCCACTAGATGGCGAATACCTGAATTCTGTAAATCTGCAAGTGTAAAAGTAAAAATAATGGTTTAAGTGAAAGCCAGGTTTTGACTTTTTGAAATTGACGATTATCGTTGCAAATTTCCGAATTATACTATCCTACACGAGTCACAGATACTCGATCGAGGTTATTTTATTCAATCTCCGACTCGAAATCGCGAGCACGCGCGATTCTGCAAATTTGTACCGGTATATAGATGCGGTGCGCGCGTGTTTACGTGTGTATACGCAGCGCGTTAGTTAGCGGTTTCGTCTTAGGTTTGCAGAGTGTTCGTTGCTGCGCGGAGCGGTGTAATATACATATATACAGATATATTATAATGCGTATAAAGTGCTATAACTACTACTGCCAGTACTCGCTGCACCCTAGTGTGTTTGCCGTTTAATTACTGGGATGGACAAAGCTTTGATTCGACGCTGGCGAGAGTATTATGTATATGCGCGTGTACATCGCCGCTCTCGTAATGCGAGCGAACGTTGACGTGTATTACCCCGTCGTCGGGTGCCCTTTCCACCCAAGCGCATACAGTCTGTATTTATATACCGTGGCAAGTAAGTATACGGAGCTGTTATGCGAAATTGGGCAAAATTTTGGCTCGTTGACGTATGAAAATACGGAAAAACGATTGATTCGTTTCTTGACTTACCTCCTTTTATTTAGGGAAGTTTACCCTTTACCATACGCGTTGCACACTACGATATAAGAGAGTAGGCGTAAATACGAGCTACACATTGAAATAATTAGGATATTTCGCACGATACTTCTGTCTATTTTTGTCAAATTTGATGTGCTGCACGAGTTCGTCGTTGTTGTAATCTACTATGAGCAAGGTCGGCACACGAGTAAGATTAAAAATCGCTACTCGAGAAACCATAAGTGCGCAGTTAGTAATATTCAGCGATTCTGTACATTTTATAGTTGACTTAGCGACTATAGATGGCGTACGCCTAACCCGCGAGCAGTCAAATTCTTTTTCGGTTGCTATATAAGAAGGGGTGTGATACGATTCCAGAATATTTGCGAATATTTACTAATTTTAGCTCTTTGGTATTAACTCGATGGTGGATACGAAAATAATTTCACGTCATGGCTTTGGCCGCGAAAAAATACTTATTCAGAATTTGAGAAAATAATTTAATTTTGCCAAAACTCATTGATAAATTGTACTTGTCTTACTTATTCCGATTGTGGGATTGTTTTGTGGTATATATCGCACAAGATGATCGGGTTTGCCACCAACTAAATGGTAATACATACATTTTTGTTCAATCGAAATTAAAGTGATTATTCGGAACAATATCGTAATTCATTATTATAAACATTTATGCGTACAGAGGTGAAGTGAGTTTGAATTTCTACGTATGCAAACCCACACACACACACACACACACATACACGGAGCACATTAGAGGACAAATGACAATCTGCTGCATTAATTCGAGCGAATAGCGATTTTATAAAATACTCATTAAAATCCGTAAACTCGATTATTTACGATCGAATAATTACTCGATGGCCATACACACGTATGCAATTAACATATCGTCGCGCGTTTTATTATTATGAAAAAATACACAGCGGGATGCATAAAACATGGTCGAATACATTATACGTATCAATTATCTTCACGCTGGAATTGCTTTTTTTTCTGTTGCAGGAGATGAAAGTCAATTGGACCACGCCGCCGGGAAACTTGCCGAAACTAGACACAAGCAGTGAGTACAGAGAGATTTATCATCCTTGCCGCGTTATTATTATTTTCGCTCATTTTCATATAGGACGTATGATATTTTCCGCAACGATCTCTCTCCCCTCGCGTAAATATATAAACATGTAGCGCGGCTCAAATCCCTTCCGTAACTTCTTGAAAAGAGGAGAGAAGAGATCCTCTGCAGCGGCGGTGGCAGCAGCCTCGACTCGCGTCTTAAATACGACTCAACCTGCAGCTAAACTTCCTGCATCTGTTTATACTAGAGGGGCATTTGTACGACGCACCGAGAGAGAGGCAGTATATTACCTCCGTGCGCGGCTGCGGCAGTAGTGGCACACGCGCGTTTGAATGCCCGCCGCGACGAGTATATTTATACCAGAGAGACGCGCGCAGTTCCATTTTTCAACTCGCACAGACGTCCGGTCGCAACTTCCGCGTCCGTTTTACATTTAATTCAGGCTTTCTCGATCTCTTTTTCTCTCCCTCCTTCCTTTTTTTTCCTTCATTTTCTTTTACGAATCTTCTCCTTTTTTCGCTCGCTAGCACCTTTTTGCTTACAAGTGCAGCAGCATCCTATATATACACGAGTATACACGGTCCAGAAAAAGAGGCTCCCTTTGCCAATGCTCATTCTTTCGCGCTCAAAGCCGCAAAACGACGCGTCGTTTCCTCGATTGGGCGCGCAACGCGTTTCTGGCATTATGCACGCGCAACCATCCCATTTGGCTCTCCCCCTGCATATATAGGTTGAGAAAGAGAGAAAATCTACAAACATAACAGTGTTAACCTCTTTCGGATGATCTTTGTTCTTTTTTTTCTTTCTCTCTCTCTTTCTCTCCGAGCATTCCAGTACAAATCGAATACTTGCACGATACTTTCGAATCCTACGTAGCAGCAGCTTTTCGGCAGGAGGGCGCTTTATAGTTTTTATATACGCGATACATTTCTTCTTTATCTGCCCGCTGTTTTTCCGGCTCGAAAACAATGCGTGCACGGGAAATGAGGAGCGCCGCTCCTTATAATACGAGCACACAAAAATGGCAATAGCAGTTGCTGCAACTAAATAAATGCAATCACGTTGGAAGTAAAGATGTATATAAAATATTTGGCTGCCCGCGCGCGCTCGTGTGTATATACGGCGCACGACGGTATGCTAAGTATTTTCGTCTACGAAAGCAGCAGCAGCACCACGAGCCTAGACCTGGTTAGGTCGGAGAGAGAGAGGAGGGCAAAATGTGAAAATACCAACCATCAAACTGGCTTTTCTCGGCCTTGGTAGAGAGAGAGAGAGAGAGAGAGAGCAGGAGGAAAAAATGATGCTAAAATAACAACGGGGCAACTACAACAAAAGTTTAACAATTCAGACTAAAGAATGCCGCATAAGAAAAGCTCCAAACTCTCTCTCTCTTTCCCCGAGTACGTAATATTATGTAGTAATGCTTAGAACGAGAAAAGTCTTGTTTATTATTATATTTCACTGTGCGTAATGAGATGCTTGGATATCGTCGGGCGAGCGACGGGCGGCTCGCGCAGTAAAGAAAACAAAAAAAAAAAAAAANGACAGTAAAGAAAAAAAAAAAAAAAAAATAAAATAAAGGAGGAAAAAAAAGAGAGAAGAGCACATAAGAAGACGCGGTAAGCCGATTCGCCTTCTGAACCACACACACACACACACATATGTACTTTTACGCGGAGCAGCGCATTTCCTTGCCACAACGCATAATGGCCTATACAACAACGCACACGGCAAGTAGTATACCTGTAGTAGCTCTGTACACGCGCCCTCGTTCCATTTGTTGTTTTTTCCCGCAATGCGAAACTTGCGAAATTTAGAGCGCGCGCGAGCGAGCTAGTCGCGACGATATTTAACTCTCTCCCTGTGTGTGCTGTGTAGTGCTGTATACATGTTTTTGTGTTATACGCGTGCATATAAAAGAGCTATAGTGCCGCGGCACGGCAGATGGGACCGGCGATTTAGAAAAAAAAGAGTATGAGAGAAAAAAATCAACGTATCCGCCTCCGCGCTGACGTTGCCGCTGATAGTATCGCATTATGGCGGGCCGATAGCCTCTTCAGAAAGAAGACACACAAACTCTCTCTCTCTCTCTCTTTTCGCTCGACTCGAGCGGCCGATATAGCAGTCTCTTTTCTAACTCGAGTTACCGACGTTGTTGCTGTTGTTGTTATTTTTTTTCTCTCTTTTTTTTTCATTTCATCCTTCGCTCAGCCACTACACACACACACCCACGCGCGTACACACACGCTTGGCATTTCTATTTCATCCTCTTTTCTCTACTTTCTCTCAAACTGGCGCACCCACCATAGACGCAGTAGTAGTATAGTTTATATACATTCCATTTGCACACAGCACTAAACTCCGTGAGTGTGTGTGCGCGCTGTCCTGCGGGAACGCGTTTACGTTCCTACCGCCGCCTTCGCACTGTACGTTAAAAAGTTTTGACATTGACGTAAAGCGCTTGGATCATTGGATAGAATTTCTTCCTCCTCGTTGCTTGTGTTGTGGTTGTTGTCGTTGTTTTTTTCTGTTTTGTTTTTACGCGCGTGCGCGTGTCATTCCTTTTCTTTGTTGCCTCGTGCACCCACACACACACCCACATACATTCATTCATGCCGTATATATACCGTACATACAACGCAGTTAGTGATAGATGTCTAAGGAAAAGTTTGCCCCGAGATCGGTGCATAATGTATAAGTGAAGTCTGCCAACTGGTCTTATAGTAGTGGCGCATTATGCGTATAAAGAATCGTCAACTCGGGCGACAAGCGCGCGAGAAAAGGATTTTATTCACCGAGGCGATATCGCGTACAAACTTTCGACGCGTATCGGTATATATATTGTATCTGTACTCGTCACGTACTGTGTCTGTACGGACAAAGCAGTGCGTCACGCGTATACGCGATTCCATATAATTCCTCCGCTCATGAAAATCTTAGCGTCTAATTTCGGAAAATGTTCCAATTAAAGCTCGACCCGCAAGCTCATACAGTAGTGGTAGTAGTGGTGTACAATGCACCGAGAGAGAGATCAACAAGTCAGGTGGATTGCTCGCTTGGATATCACTGCTCGTCTAGCTCATATCACTCGACGTGCGTTGTATGTATATATGCCTCGAGAGCGAGAAGATTGGACGCGCGTATGCATAGAAAGCTCGAGTTTTGAATCGCGCAGGGGACGATAATCAGCGTATAAATACACAATGTACCGCTCTGGGGGGTGCTACACACACACACACACACACACACACACACACACACACACACACACACAGACTGGCCTCTACTAGCCCAGTGAGTGATATCCTCTTTCATCCACTCTTGGCTATTCCGTTTGCTGCAGCTCAGTTTTGCCGCGCGCGAGAAAGGGGCTAGCTAGGCTTTGTACCACCACCACCACCGTCAACGTTTAGGCGCAGCACACTCGTGTGAACCTTATAACCCGACACGAGCGCGTGTGTATATGGCAATCGCCGGCGCTCGCCTATATGCAAAGGATTTTCTCCTGTCGACTCTTTATAAATACATGCGCGCACATTTGCCGCGGCGATCCTCTTTGTTACGTATTACGCGCGCTTACGGCTTAGCTTTGAGTCAAGCGAGCTGGCCAATGCGTTGCAGCACCCATGTGTGTGCGAGTGTGGCTTGTAATGCGTATTTTTGACTTCGTTAAAGATGCAGCTTGCCGAGCGAGGATTTTTATTGCCACGCACAAAGATTTCGAGCGGATTTTCAACACCGAGAGCTTGATGGATTATACGGTCATTGAAACGCCGAGAGAAGGCCCAAAGTTAAAAAAAGTCGTAGAGAGTTTCTGCTACGGAATATATTTATCTGTATTGCAAAAAATTATCACAGTGATAGTAAAAGTTATCATATTTTATAGTTAGCTTGTTGACCCATAGATGTCGCATTCAAAACTCCCAAACGGTTAATTCTGCTTCGGTTGATATATAGAAGGAGATTTCAATAGTATATTCGAAATTCTTCTTTATCTGATTTGTAAGGATCTTATTTACACAGCTATTCATTTTATAACTGCTTTATCGACCTATAGATGTCGTATCCCGCACTCCTAAGGGGTTAATTCAACTTCGGTTGATATTTAAGAAGACTAATGATTGTACGAATAACATAATCATCGTTTTCTGACTCTTATAGAGAATTAGTTATTATAGAATACTTCATGATATTCGGATCGTAACAGTATGCATCGAGCTAATGCCAACAGCTTCATAAATTGCGTGAATGTAAGGGGTTTTTTAATATAGTCCTTTTCAGTGGGTAGACTCAAAGCTGCCAGAAATTTCCAAATGATGACAAATCTTGCATCATCAATGATTAAGGATCTAAATTCTGAACGTTTGACTGTTTCGAAGAGTTATCGTGTTCACAAACGTACCAAATTTTCAAATTATTCTTGACTTACCAATGAAATTTTTGAAATTCATCAAATGTCCCAATGAAAACGTTGTACATACTTTTTAGACTCAGTTTAAAATTTGACTTCGAACAAGTATATTATACCGCTCGTAGCAACACAGACCAAGAATTCGTATATTTACTCTCACTGTCACCAGTCGCGCGAGCTTTTTACCCGATTCCAAGGCAAAGCATTTGCGATAATATAACGTAAAGTTTTCACGCGAATTATCGAAAGTAAATTTACTCGCGCTGACGAATTCATAGAACGGTACATAAACAGCCATAATAATCCATTTATTTTTCATTAACGCGCGTAGCTACGTGTATCGCGAGTGGAAACGATAATAGTTTGCAAATGCATATAATGCTTGTACGTAAACGCTGTTTTAATCAGGCGTTGCATCCATCTGTCGCCTGCACTCGTTCGAATTCACTCTCTCTCTCTCTCTAATTTTTTTAACTTATATATTAAACAGTCGCTTTAAACACGGGACGACACAAAAGCTGCTCCTATACTTCTGTGGCAGCGCTTAAATCGCGCAGCCAACTGTTTTAACGGCGGG